CTCAAAAAAATGTTCTAATACATTTATTTACGAATTTCTCTAATTGTAAAATTATTCGAAAACAACAATAACTTCTTCAAATAAATATTTAATCATTATTATTTTTGCATAGGAATTAAAATTCTTCAAAAGATTGAAATTCAAACCTTTTTCGAATTAATTAACTTTAAAAATATTGTTATAAAACATCAAGAAAACGATTACTCAGAGTCTTCGACTCGGAGTGATCGATTTCTTCATGTTTTATAATAATCTTATTAAACATAACCAAGTGATAAAATCATTGTTTTATATTCCAAAAATTGTTAGGTACTTCTTCAAAATTATTTTCATCGATTCAATTCAATTAATATTTTTTAATAATTTTTTACCAAAATTTGTCTTTAAATCAATTATTTTTCATAGTTTTTGAAAAAGTTTTTTAATAATTTTCAAAATCATTTGTTTACAATTCAATTTTAGACGAAATTTCGTTTATTCGGAAATTCTTCACTTAATTATATATTAGAAAATAAAACCTTCAAATAATTTTAAAAAAACTCAAATAAACTTTAAAAAAAATTAATAGTTAAACGTATCAAAAAATCAGATTTTCAAAAATTATAATTTGAAACCTCTTCAAAATTCAATTATTTCTAAAAATTCATTGTATAAAGCTTTCAGTTATTATCTAAAATTTTAAGTGAAATTCAATTTTAAATCCATTTTTTATAAAAAAATTTTACGAGAATTCAATTATTTAAATACAAGAATAAATAATTTATTAGACAATTGAATTTATTGAACTTTAATAAAAAATTTTAGAAATAGTTAAATTTTACGAGGAATTCAATTAAAATTGTATTAAAAATAATTGAAAGTCTGCGATAAGTTGTATTATTTATGAAAATAATTAAATCACTGTAAAAAATTTTATTATTCATGGAAATAATTGAGTTATTGCTTAGAAATTTACAAGAAATTTGTAAATAATTGAATTACTGTGAAAATTTCATTATTTATGAGAATAATTAAATGCTTGCGTAGAATTCTATAAAAATTTATTTTAAAGAATTGAATTCTTTTCAAAAATTTTATTAAAATAGTAGATATTTAAAATGATTGAATTGAGGAAAGTTTTTAAAAATAATAGAAAGTTTGACAAGAATTTTATTATTTTTAAAAATAATTGGAATTTTGGCGAAATTATTTTTTAAATTTTTGACTAAAATTCTTCTATAAATCGATTATTTTTAATAATTGTTTAAATATATATTAAAAAATTAAACTAATTTCAGAAAAATTTGAAATATTAAAATTTTTCAAAAATCTTTGTCCCTTAAATAAAATTTATTCAAAATTGAAATTTTATAAAATTTCAAAATAAAACCTTTTGAAGTTATTTATTTATTTATGAAAATTGTAATAGCAATTCTTTTAAAATTTAATTAATTTTCAAATAAACATTATTCGTTAAATACTTTATGATTATGAGTAGGTAATAATTTTATGATAGTTCTTCAAATTATTTCTAAAAATGTATGCTGTAATACTTTTAATGTTTAATTATGATCCAAAATTTTAACTGAAATCCATTTTCTAATCAATAATTATTAGAAAATTCTACGAGAAGTTAGTTATTTATTTATTTCTTTATTTTACAATCAATTAAATAGAAAAATAAATAATTTATTGAATAATTGAATGTTTTTCAAAATTAAATTCTCCTAAAGAATTTTATCAATAAATTTTTAAATCAATAAATTCTTTCGACGAATTTTAATAAAATTTTTAAGAATAATTACATTTTTTCTAGGAATTCAATGAAAATTGAATAAAAAATAATTGAAATACTAAAAAGAATTTTTTTATTTACGAAAATAATTGAATCTCTGTAAAAAAAATTGTATAGTTTATGAAAATAATTGAATTATTACAAAGAAATTTATAACAAATTTGTAAATAATTGAATTCTTTATATATAAATAATTGAATTCCTTTGTTATTTTTTATTATTTATGAAAATAATTAAATGTTTTCGTAGAATTTTATTAAAATTTGTTTTAAATAATTGAATTCTTTTGGAAAATTTTATTAAAATAGTAGATATTGAAAATCATTGAATTGAGGATAATTTTTTAAAATAATTAAAATTTTGCCCAGAAATTTATTAAATTTTTTTAAAATAATTGAATTTCTAATTAAATTCATTTAAAATTAAAGTTTTATAAAATTTCAAATTAATACCTTTTGAAATTCATCTATTTATGAATGAAGTTATTTAATTACAAATTATTGTTAGAAATAGAAAACATTTAAGGTTTCGTTGTAATTTCATAGTTTACCTTTAATAAAAATCCCTAACTTTTCCCTGACTTCTCCCTAAATTCCCTGACTGACCTGATCTGTGGCAATCCTGATTTACCATCTCCATATTTGATCCACCATTTTGAATTTTTCGAATCCAAGTTCCAATTCATAATCAGTGGAGAATATTTCTACTTTTTATCGTTCAAAAAAAAAAAAATATTTGTCTCCTTAAAAAAAAATCTATTATCGACGCAAAAACTGTTTCAATTGTTGTTTTCCTCTCGTTTTATTTGAGTTCTCTTTCATCCCTTTTTTTGCCCGCTGTCATTGTTAACCATTCGATTGAACTTTCCATCCTCCTTCTTCTTTTTTTTTGCCTTACTTTCTTGGATTCTTTCCACTCCTTTTTTTCTCGCTCTTTCACCTATTTTTTTTCTCATTCTTTTTTATTTCCTTTTTTTTAAACTCTGACTTCATTGGACTCCCATTCTCGATTTGTATCAGTAGCAGCGATAAGGTGAGTTTCACCAACTGAACGGACCGATGTTTCTACGTTCCCCGAGGTATTTTATCGCCGCTTGTAATAAGGTTTCCGCGTATAAGAAAGCCACCATCATTGGCAAAAAAAAGAGAAAAAAAGAGAGGGAGAGAGTGAGAGAGAAAAAGAGGTTCCTAGAAAATCCAATCGCAATAGAGTTAAGTGTTCCTGAGTAAAACCTTGCCCATAGTGTAACCTCGATTACTTGCGAAGGATTTGTTACAAGTGTCTTATTGTCCCCCAAACCCTCAAAGACCGAAATCCGATTCGATAGCCTACAATAGTCAAGCGACAAAATTTATCTTTCCAAAAAAAGTAAAGTAAAATAAAAAAAAATTGCTCACAGTGAAATGTAATTATTATCATTTCTCTATTCTCTGTACACGAAATCCCTTTATTTTCAATTGAATTTAATTTTGTTCTATCGAAAATTAAATTTATTGCAATTTCCAATAAGAATATTTTTTTAAAATAAATTTTTAGTAGGAAAAAATGAAGGTAACTTACAGATTGAAAATTTCATCAGATGAGGCTGTGACATACCTTTTTTTGCTGAAACAAAAAGAATTACACTTTTAAGAAAATTAATTTTTTTAATAACATTTTTTTAATATTATCAAACAAATGTGACATTATTTATTTTAATAATTAAATTTTTTTAAATAATTAAATAATATTAATTTACTGATAGTTGATACCTTTTTATTAATTATTTAATATTAAAAATTGTTGATATTAAAAATAATTAATTACGATAACCATGTTTATTTATTAAATAATACTTATTTAATATTAAATAAATAAAATTAATTTAATTTATACTACAATTTATTAATTTAAATTATTAAAGATTTAAAATACTAAAATTGTTTTTTAAATTGTTCACAGTAATAATAATGTCAATTAAAAGAAGAGAAATTAAAAATAAAATAATACGAATAGTGAATACAAGACAGCCGAAGCCATTAAGGCGCTTAAATCTGGGTGGAACTCAAAGTCAGAGGTACGAATCCCCTCGGGTGGAAACAATATTTTTAGTATTCTTGTCATTAATATTGTTTATTAATATAAATAATAACAAATTAATATATTATTAATATTCATTTAAACATTGTTATAATGATAACATTTATTATTATTATCATGAATATTAGTAACAATTATAGTAATATTATTAATAATTTGATTACGATAAAATACAAATAAATTGTAATCAAAATAATAGTAATATTTTTAGTTCTGACTGACTTTTTCCTTTCGAATTAGCAAATTTTACTAACAAATTAGTAGAAATTACTATCTGTTAGTAAAATTTACTAATTTAAAAGCAAAAAGTCAATCACCAACTCCTATTTGTAAACATTAGCGATTATCAAATTTAATTATTTTAATTAAGTTAGCAAATTTGACTAATAAATTTGTAGAAATTACTTTTAAATTTACTAATTCAAAAGCAAAAAGTCAGTTACTAATTAAAAATAGTAAACATTAGCAATTAGGAAATTTGTGAATTAAATTATTAAATTTTACTAATAAATTAGTAAAAATTACTATTTATTAGTAAACTTTATTAAATCAAGAACAAAAAATCAGTCACTAATTCAAATTAGTAAACATTTTTACTAATTCAAATTTAGAGAGTAATAACATCGATACAATAATTATGTTAATAACAAATTAACAATTAACAATTAAAATATCAGTATTATTAATAATATTTTTAATAACAATAATCTAAATATTAATGATAATATTATTAATCATTAATAATAATTGTAAAAGTAAATTATAAATTAACTAATAACTACTTCTTTAAATTTAATATTCATCATATTAATAACAAAAATAGTAATAAAATTAATAACAATATTGAACAAAAATAATAAACAAAATTATTTTCAACACAACACGTTTTTATTAAATATATTTTCACTTACTGATTAGTTTTGACATTTGTAAAAATTGATTTAAAGAGTGGAATAAAAATTGATTAATTCAACTACGTAGAAAATAAAGCGTTCGATCGTGAGATTTATTTTTTATCAATCGAGATAATAGTAAATATTTTTCTTTCTCCGTTACCTGATTATTTATTGCATAAAATAAGTTGGACTAGCGATTTATTTTTTTCTTCTCTCTTCACTTTTTCAACAAATACATTTGAAATATAATATTAATCTTATCGAATGAACACTGACAGATCTATCTCTATCTGATTATAAAGTCTCAAAATTTTCGTATATAAATCACGGATAAATAGAATTCAATTAGTAGCAACGTCTCTTTTCACAGTGAGTATCCACAAATAAAATTTTCAATTTAATTTTTATCTTTGATTAAATTCGGTTTTCTAACATGGAGTTCAAATTCAGTTTATATTTTTTTAAATTTTTTTATGGTTTGGATTCAGTTATTTAGATTTGAACGTTTAGTTCGAGTTTCTGCTTTTTATTGTTTAAACTTTTCAGTTTCATTCAGTTTTTTATTGTTTGAACTTTCTAGTTTTATTCAGCTTTTTATTGTTTAAATTTTCTATAGTTTTATTTAGTTTTTTATTGTTTGAACTTTCTAGTTTCATTTAGTTTTTTATTGTTTGAACTGTCTAGTTTCATTTAGTTTTTTATTGTTTAAAGTTTCTAGTTTCATTTAGTTTTTTATTATTTAAATTTTTCAGTTCATTTCCTGCAGCTTTTTTATTTTACTTTTTTTGATGTCTAAATTTTTTAGTTTGCTTCCTTCAGTTTTTTTTATTTTTTTAGTTTGATTTATCCACTTTTTTATCGTTTAAATTTTTTACTTTGTTTTTATTCAGTATTCCTATTGTTAAAACTTTTTAGTTTGTCTTCTTCAGTTTTTTCTATTATTAAAAAATTAAAAAATTTGTATATTTTTTCTACATTTGTACAATTGGATAAATATTTTATATTTTTAGTTGAAATTCAAATTAATACGTAAAATTTAGAGACTAATTTAGTTTTGTACAATATACTTTAGGCCTAATTTTTTTTTGCTTCGTAAAATTGTTCTATTAATATTTATTTAAATAATTTGAAAAAGTGATACAAATTTTTTTTTAATTTTATAGATGAAGTTGGCACTCGTGCTGTTCCTAGCAACAGCTGGGACCTTACGGGTCAATAGTGTACCTATCAGCAATGATGAATTGCAATCATCGTTATTTGCTAGTGGATTAGAAAATGACTTAAACGATTTTTTGGCTTTGGTTCCCGTTGAGGAAGTTGAAGGAATTGTTCTTGAATATCTATCCCACGATGCTGATTTTCAACAGACTTTGGAATACCTCGTCTCGAAGGATTTTACGTCATTAATTCTGGAAATTGAAGCAATGCCCGATGTTAAGGCATTCATTAAATATCTTCACGATTCCGGTTTGAATGTCTATAAATATCTCAATCAACTTCACGATTTTCTTGGTCTCGATCATTTTGTACCACTCATGGAAGAAATGACCAGAGGAATTACTGGTGGACTACCAGGATTGATAAAAGACATCGAAGCAATTTTACCACGCGATAAAATTGAGGCCCTTTATCAAGAAAAACTCAAAACATCGCCAGCTTTCGCCGATCTAATAAAACATCTCCAATCATCCAAATTTCAAAACGTAGTGAACAATGTTTTCAAAAATCCAAAAATTCAAGACTTAATAAATCGAGCTAAAGCAAAAGGTATCGATGTCAAAGCAATTCTTGATCTTGTCACAAAAATCCTTGGAATTAAATTCCCAGGACAGAGTCGTGCAATTAATTTCGGAATGCAGGAGGATATTGATGATTTTCTTCGTTTAATACCAACGAAAAAAATTCAAGATTTAGTACTCGAGTACCTGGCCACAGATCCAGATTTTCAGGCAACATTAGATTATGTTCTATCAGATGAATTTCGTAGTCTAATTAAGGATATTGAAGCAATTCCCGATGTGAGGATGTTTATCAAATATTTAAACGACGTTGGATTGGATGTGTACAATGGTCTTAAAATTCTTCACGATTTTCTCGGTATCGATCACTATGTTCCATTTACCCACACTTATGGTTTACGGAAAATTAGCGGTGGACTGCCTGGATTAATTGAAGACATTAAGGCAATGCTTCCAGTTCATGAAATTGAGGAACTCTATAAAGAAAAATTACAAACGTCAGCTGCATTCCGATCACTCGTCGAACAACTAAAATCGGAGAAATCGCAAAGAATCGTTGACATTGTTTGGGCAAATGAAAAATTCATCAAGTTGCTTAACAGAGCCGAAGCTAAGGGTGTTGATGTTAAGGCTATTTTACAATTACTCACTGACATTCTTGGAATTAAGTTTCCATCAACGGTCTATCGTTCGGTGACTATGGGTTTGAAGCAGGATCTGGAGGAATTTTTGGCTTTGGTTCCACGGAAACAAATCGAGGATCTTGTCATGGAGTACTTGGCTTCTGATGCTGATTTCCAAGAGGCTGTAGAATATGTGATGTCGAACGATTTCAAAAAGTTGATTCTAGAAATCGAGAACATTAAGGACGTGAAAATGTTCATTAAGTACCTAAACGATGCCGGTTTAGATGTCTATAGCCTCCTTAACCAGGTCCACGATTTTCTAGGTCTTGACCACATGGTTCCTGTTAGCGAATTTTTCGACTACGGCTTCAAGATTACGGGCGGACTTCCGGGTTTGATTGCTGACGTCAAGGCCATTCTACCAGAAGAAAAAATCCAAGCGCTATACAAAAGGAAATTGGAAACCTCAGCCGAATTTGCAAATGTTATCAAAAAGTTAGGTTCGCCGGAGTTTCAAAAAGTGGTCGACACCGTTTGGGGTAATCCAACCCTCCAGGAGTTGATCAAACGGGCCAAGGCTAAGGGAGTCGACGTTAAGGCTATTCTTGAACTGATTACCGAAATTCTAGGTATTAAGTTCCCATCGAGTAGGCAAGTACGTTCGGTGACATTTGGCTTGAAGGAGGATCTCCAAGAATTTCTGGCTTTGGTTCCACAAAAACAGATCGAGGATCTAGTGATGGAGTACTTGGCTTCAGATGCCGATTTCCAGGAGGCTGTCGAATACATGATGTCGAACGATTTCAAAAAGTTGGTTCTAGAAATCGAGAACATTAAGGACGTGAAAATGTTCATTAAGTACCTAAACGATGCTGGTTTAGACGTCTACAGCCTACTTAACCAGCTCCACGATTTTCTAGGTCTTGACCACATGGTGCCTGTTAGCGAATTTTTAGACTACGGCTTTAAGATTACGGGCGGACTTCCGGGTTTGATTGCCGACGTCAAGGCCATCCTGCCAGTCGACAAAATCGAAGCTCTCTACAAACAAAAGTTACAGACATCCGCCGAATTCGCAAATGTCATCAAAAAATTAGGTTCATCGGAGTTTCAAAAAGTGGTCGACACGGTTTGGGGAAATCCAACTCTCCAGGAATTGATCAAACGGGCCAAAGCTAAAGGAGTCGATGTCAAGGCTATTTTGGAACTTATCACCGAAATTCTAGGAATTAAATTTCCGTCAACATTGCAGGAACGTTCGGTAACAATGGGTTTGAATGAAGACCTCAAAGAATTTCTGGCTCTGGTCCCACAGAAGCAGATCGAGGATCTAGTGATGGAGTATCTAGCATCAGATGCCGATTTTCAAGAAGCCGTCGAATACATGATGTCGAACGACTTCAAGAAACTGGTCCTCGATATCGAAAACATTAAGGACGTAAAAATGTTCATTAAGTACTTGCACGATGCGGGTTTAGACGTCTACAGTCTCCTAAACCAGCTCCACGATTTTCTAGGTCTCGACCACATGGTTCCGGTCGAACTTGACTATATTTATACCTTAAAAATTACAGGAGGACTTCCGGGTTTGATTGCCGACGTCAAGGCTATCCTTCCAGTGGATAAAATCGAAGAGCTCTACAAACGGAAATTGGAAACGTCTGCCGAATTCGCCAGTCTTATCAAAAAGTTAGGTTCACCGGAGTTCCAAAAAGTGGTCGACACCGTCTGGGGGAATCCAACCCTCCAGGAGTTGATCAAACGGGCCCAAGCCAAGGGAGTCGACGTCAAGGCTATTCTCCAACTAATCACCGAAATTTTAGGTATTCGGTTCCCATCGTCCAGGCTCGTATCATCGACAATGGGTCTAAATGAAGACCTCCTAGAATTTCTGGCTCTGGTTCCCCAAAAAGAAATCGAGAACCTAGTAATGGAGTACCTAACTTCTGACGCCGATTTCCAGGAAGCCATGGAATACATGCTCTCTAACGACTTCAAGAAACTAGTTCTCGAAATCGAAGCCCTACCCGACGTGAAAACCTTCATCCAATATCTCCACAATGCCGGTCTAGACGTCTACAGTGTCCTCAACAAAATCCACGATTTCCTCGGTCTGGATCACATGTCTCCCTTCACAATCACCTTCGGAGCCTACAAAATCACCGGAGGACTTCCGGGACTCATTGCCGACGTCAAAGCCATCCTGCCCCTAGACAAAATCCAAGAACTCTACCAACGGAAATTACAAACCTCCGCCGAATTCGCCAAACTCATCAAAAACCTAGGCTCCCCGGAATTCCAAAAAATCATCACCACCGTCTGGGCGAATCCAAAACTCCAGGAATTACTCAACAAGGCCCAAGCCAAAGGCGTCGACGTCAAGGCAATCCTAAAGCTGATAACCGAAATTCTAGGTATCCACTTCCCCGGTTCCCGGTACATGTCACCAATTTTTGTCAGGTACGAAAAAAATCTAAATGATGACTTAAACGATCTTCTGGAATTAATTCCAATGAACGATGTTTTAGAAGTTGCACTGGATTACGTGGCTGTTGATCCCGATTTTCAATGGTTCCTCGAATATCTGCAGTCCCCCTACATCGGAAGTTTGGTCACCGACATCGAGAACATACCCGGAGTAACCAATTTTCTTCACTATCTCCAAAAATCCGGTCTTGACGTCTATACATTTTTAAACAAACTCCACAAAATATGGGACCTGGACCCAATTTCACCACAGAGGAACAATTACATTACCGGCGGACTTCCGGGTTTTATCAAAGACACTATCGCCGCACTTCCAGTGGAAAAAATCGAAAAAGTATACAACGAAAAATTGCAAAATTCCCCCTCACTAAAGGATCTATTGAAACAAATACAGACCGCGGATTTTCAAAAAATGGTCGACACCCTTATGATCAATGAGAGACTCAACGATCTAATGACAAAAGTTGAAGCAAAAGGTGTCAACGTGGATGCAATTCTAAAAGCCATTAGTCAACTTCTTGGAATTCGTTTACCATCGAGACCGAAAATATCAGCATTTGTAAACGAAGCCCTTAAGAAGGATTTAAAAGAATTTGCTGCACTTGTCCCGAAGAAGAAAATTGCGAAAATTGTTATTAAATACTCTCTGGGTGATAAGCACTTTAAACGTGTGATTAAGTACGTAAGATCTAATGATTTTCATAAATTAATTAAAAATGTTGAAGCAACTAATGAAATGAAACAATTCCTTGATTATCTAAATTCAATTGGATTAGATGTTTACAAGTGGATTAAAATATTTCATAAAATTATTGGTATGGAAAAAATGGAAATTGAATTTTATTCACCGTCGCGTAAAATAAGTGGTGGTATTAATGGTTTGATAAAGGATATTAAAGCTGCATTACCAATAAATGAACTTTATGCACTTTATCAAAAAAAACTCAAAGACTCAGCAGTATTCGCTGAATTTGTTGAACGACTACGTTCACAGGAATTGCAAAATCTTGTAAATGCATTGGCGAAAATTGATGAAGTTGAGAGAGTATTGACAAAATTGGAATCAATGAATGTTGATGTTAATGGAATTTTTCAACTTTTGTCAGATTATTTTGGTATTAAATTCCCACCAAGACCGGGACATTCTAATTTTTTTTAACTAATTATAAACAATTGATATTTTATTTCTAATAGTTTTTACTATTATGATTTATGTAAATTTTTTTCCCCTTCATCATTTAATTATTATATATACTCATTTCATCAGTGTATAATTTGTTATTAAAATTATTGTTATTTAAATAAATTAATTTAAATTTTAGATATACCATAATTTATTTAGATTTTATTTGAACCACCATTTATTTCAATTTTATTTCAACCGTAATTCATTTTTATTTTATTTAAACCGGAAATTATTCAAGTTTTATTTAAACCATAAATTAATAAAATTTTATTCAAAAATTTATTTAAATTTAAAAATTATTTATTTAAAATTAAATATTATTTAAACCATAATTTATTTAACTTTTATTTAAATATTAATTATTTTTGTGAATTATTTAATGTTATTTAATAATATTTACAATAATTTAAGATTATTTACTATTTTTTCTATTATTTACCATTATTTATTGTTATATATAATTTGTAATTAAATAAATATTAAAAATATCCAGAAATTAAAAATCGATGTCACAATTATAAATTTTATTAGGTACTGATACAAATTTTTCATTATTTCAGTGGATAAAAACAATAATTGTATATTAAAAAATAGAAAAATTTTGAATTCAATATTAATTTAAAAAAAAATTTTAATTTAATTTAAATTTAAATTTAAATTTAAATTTAAATTTAAATTCAAAATAAAATTTTATTTATCGATTTCAAATAATCAATTTTTCTTTTGAACATTAACTTCACGCAATACAAAATTTATACTTTGACAGAAACAGACAGAAAGAATATTCTCAATTTTTTCAATTTATTCAGATAACATGGAAAATTTAGTTCAAAGAAAAGTCAGTACGAAATTATAAATTTAAATTTGTAAATTTTTGAAATTGGAAATGTAAAAATGTTATTAAAATTAAAAGAGCACGAGACGAATGTAACATAAAGGTATTTCAAAAATAGAAACACAACCTCCAATTACATTTAAAAAATGTTTAAACAAATTTTGTAAGTAAAAAATTATTATAATAATAAAAAAAAACTGTTTCGAAAATAAAAATTTACTTTTACAAATTTTATTAAACTATTAATGATTAAATCAGTTTTTCTTTAATGAATTCATATTATTATAAAAAGTGAGACAAATAAATCCACTATTATTGATTTTAGAAAAGTAAATTTTCTATTAAAAAAAAGAAAATTTTTTCTATTTAAAAGTATTTTAATTTTAACATAAAATTTCCAATTTTTTATTTTAGAATACAATTTTTTTTTTATTCTTTTATTGCAATTTCAATTTTTCAATTTTGAAAATGAAAGTTTTATATTTTTCTCAATACATATTAAAATTTTCTATTATTTAATTTCAAAACAGAATTTTCTATTGTTTAATTTTATAATTTTTCTCCTTTTCACTAGAAAATATTAAATTTCGTATTTTTATTTTAGAGTATAAAATTTTCTTCTTTTTTATTTAAGATAAAATTTCCTAGTTTTTTATTTTAGAAAAAAAATTTTTAATTGAACTATTTCAAATTTTTATTTAAAATTATTCTCGTTTTAAATTTTCCATTTATTTGTTACAATTGATAGTAAAATGTTTTGTCTTTCATTTTTAGAATACATTTTTTTTTCATTTTAAATTACAGAATTTCCTACAATCTCATTTTTTAATACCTATATTTTCTTTTGTTTGATGATATTAAAATGTTTTATTTTTTGTTTAGAAACAAATTTCCTATATTTTGCTTAATTAAAACTTTCGTATTTTTTCACTATAGAAATAAATATTTCACATTTTGTTCACTTTGGCGAAAAAATGTTATTTACTATTTTTTTTTTATTCATTCTCAGATGACAGACAAAATTCTTCCAAAAAAATACCAAAAAATATGACCCACTTACAAAGAAAAAAAATAAAAAATGAAGAACCTTTTACGATAAAAAATCTCTGACAGAAAAGCAAAAGAAAAAAATGATTATTTTCAAAAGAAAAAAAGAATGAATGGAGCAATTGTGGCATTGGGACTCGCGACAGCAATTTCCATCATAATAATAGGTTTATCAATCCTTCGCACTTCATCGCAATCAAATAATTTATCAGAATTCGAAATATATCTAAATCTCGACACTAGCAACTTGGAAGAAGATTTAAACGATATCCTCTCATTTATTCCACTCGATGAAGTTAAACAAATAATTTACACTTACGCATCAAATGATAATCAAATTAACGAAACAATAATATTCATAAATGACATGAAAATTTATATTCTAAGAGAATTCAAAAAATTACCGAATATCGATTTTTTTAAACACATTTTACAACAAAATGGACTCAAGACACAACACTTGTTCGATGAAATTCAAAAATTTTGGAATAATATTCCATCCGATGGGAATAGAGTGAGAAATAATAGTGATTACTACGGTGGTCTTACTTCGATGATTAATGCAATTTTGGGTAAAATAAAAATGAACGATCTACATTTACTTCTTTGTTCAAAAGTCATTGAATCGAGAAGTTTTCGCCATTTTCTCCTTCTTCTAATGTCACGTGAATTCGATGAATTTTGTCAAGGAATTGACGAGAGTCAGGAATTTCAACGATTATTTCATTGGGCAAAAGAGGCGAATATTGAAATTATTTTTGCCATTGAACTCTTAACGCATTTTCATTCATATTTGACAACAAAACTTTTCATGGACATCGTTCATTGATTCGACAAAAAATAAAAAAAAATTTTGTAAAAAAAATACGATTTATTTATTAATTAACTATTATACTTTGAATGTTCTTTCATTCATTCACTTTTTCTGTCCCCTCAAGTATAAATTTTTTAAATAATTTCATAATCAAAATTTAAAAAATTCACTTATTAAGTACAAAATTAATTATTACTGTTCATATTTTCAAAAATTTTAATAAAATTTCACGAAAGAATTCAATTATTTTCTAAAATTTTAATAAATCCTTCTAAACAAAATTCATATATTTTTTTAAATAGTAAAATCTTTACAAAAATGCAATGATTTTCAAAACAATTTTAATTGAATTCCTCGTATGAATTCAAATATTTTAAAATATTTCCATAAATTTCAATTATTTCCTAAAATTTTAATAAATTCTTCGAAACAATTCAATCATTCTTGTAAATACTAAAATTCTTTGCAGGAATTAAATTACTTTTAATCAAATTTAAATAAAATTACATGAAAGAATTTAATTATTTTCAAAAATTTCCATAAAATTCAATTTCAACAAGAATTTAAAATTTTCTAAAAATAATTCAATTATTCTCAAAATATTTTTAAAAAAATCTATATAAAAATTGAATTTCTTTGAATGCAATTTTTAAATATATTTGTCAAAAAAAAATTTTAAGAATACAATCATTTTCAAAAAATAATAAAATTCTCGTGATGAATTCAATTATTTTGAATAAGCACTTAATTTTAATAAAATTCTTTAAAGAAATTCCATTATTTCTGAAACAACTTTAGTTGAATTTCCTTAAAAAATTTCATTATTTTCAAATATTTCTATAAAATTCTTCATAACAATTTAATTATTTCTTAAAATTTTAATAAATTCTTCGAAACGATTCAACTATTTTTCTAAATAGTAAAATTCTTCACAATAATTAAATTATTTTTAAAAATAGTACAATTCTTTGGAGGAATTCAATTATTTTCAAAACAATTTTAATTGAATTCCTCGGATGAATTCAAATATTTAAAAATATTTCCATAAATTTCAATTATTTCCTAAAACTTTAATAAATTCTTCGAAACAATTCAACTATTTTTATAATTATAGTAAAATTCTTCGCAAGATTCCAAAAAAAATTCAAAGAAATTTTTCAAAAGAATTTAATTAGAATTTTTAAAAATTTTAATAAAATTGTTTGCGAGAATTCAGTTATTTTCCTAAATAATAAAATTCTTTGAAGAAACTCTATTATTATCAAATTTTTTGATAAAATTCTTTGCAACAATTCGATGATTTTTAATACATTAATTTTAAAAGTTGAAAATATTTTAAAAGAAAAATTATAAAAAAAGTTTAGAAACAAAAAAGCAAACAACAACTAACTTATAATTAAAGATGACCGAGAGATAAAATAATTATTTTATATCATAAGAACATTGTTACTGTAACTTCATCAAAATTATTTTCATCATTTTAATTTAATTATTATTTTCTAGAATTTTAAATTATTTTTTATGAAAATAATAATTGAATTCTTTAAAAAAATTTTATGATTTATGAAAATAATTGAATACCTGTGAAATTTTTATTATTTATGAAAATAATTAAATGTTTGCAATTACAATTTTATTAACAATTTTTTTTAAATAATTGAATTCCTTTTGGGAAATTTTATTAAAATAGTAGATATTGAAAATCATTGAAATTAGAAAAATGCATTTTATTTTTGAAAATAATTGAAATTAGGACAAGAATTTTTTTGACATTTATGGAAATAATTGAACTTTGAAGAAGAATTTTGTTATTTATAAAGATAATTGGGATTTACTGCTAATAAAATTAATTTAATACTTTAATAACAAAAATAATTTTTTTTCAATAACCAAAAAAAAAAATTCTAATGTTTTTAATCACTGAATGACAAATTGATTTTTTAATTTAGTTTCTATTAATTCGTTAAATAAAATAAAATTTCTCAAGAGCAATATATACGTGTACAATAAGAAATAGAGGAGATTGGAGAAACAAAAAGTTGAGTGTAATTGTGATTGTGTAAAATTAATAAAATTTTCGGGAGAAAAGCAGAAAACGATGGAAGCTATTGTCCCGTATGGGGAGCTTATAGCAAGAAAGGAAGGCTGAATTTAATAATGCAGAGAGTAAGGCTAGACATTTTGTACACAGTGAAATTGGTACATACTGCTTTTGGGCATCTTCAATATCCGAGCAGTTCAAGCAAACCCCCCGTTCGTTGTATTGTCTTGAAATTTTGGCTTCTGTTTATAGAGAGAACTATCCTAGAACTAGAATTCACCAATGATATTGAAAAATTCACAATTTCAAAATTGTCCAAATTTTCGAGAGAGAAAAAAATCACTTTTCCAATACATTTCTGTCAAAAAAAAAAAAAAAAAAAAATACAAGAAAATTTTCTCTTTATTCAATAAGAAATAGTAGATAATAAAAACAGAATTTAATTTTACAAATTAAAATATCTTTCTGTCTTTTTCAATTTTCCTTCTTCACTTTCTTTGTATTCAATGAAATTCCAAACTTTAAATTAATTTTTTTTTACCTAATTTACAATTTTTTCGGGACGAAAAAAAAAAAAAAAAAAAATATTCTTGGTTTACAAAAAGTAAACCAAGAATTCACTTAATAATAATTACTTTTAACTAATTTACTTTTCAGAGAATCTATACAATTTTACATAATGGAAAAAGAATTCAACCCTCGCATAAATTTTATCGAGAGAAACCATTTTTCCATGACCAAAAAAAAAGAAACCAGTAAATTATGGCAATGGACCAAAAAAAATTTTCTTCTTGTCCCATAACCAATTTCATATGCAATTTCAACTGAAATTTCTTCCGGTTGACGATACACATTTGCATCGTAAAGTCAGACGAAACATTTTCATAGGATGTGATACTTTCCATGTTAAGGGGGAGAGAAAAAATGGGATGAGAGGGAGGTGAGGGTGAAAAAAAAGAACACGAGTCATTCAATGAAATAGTACTGGTAGCTCCTAAAAAGGTGAAATTGAAGAGCCACAAGAAGCGAGGGTGTGTATGTGTATATATATATATATATATATATGAATTGAGAGAGAGAAAATTTTCGACCCATCTCCTCTCTCATGGCCAAGTCTTTTCATGGAAGGAGAGAATTGCGCTCTTGGCACTTGACTTTTAAACCCTGTAAGCGGATCACTCTACTACCTACTTCTAAATGTCTTCCTCGTCACGGTTGGCTCACTTGAGCGATTTTCCGCAGCAAATTCCTTCTTTATGGAAAACAAAATAATGCGTTGCCCCACTTGAGGGATTAAGTGCTATTTGTTTTTCGTCGACGTCTCCTTCTTTTCTTCATTCTTTAAAAAATGTTTAAAAATTACCCTTCTACTTAAGGATCTTCTTGTCCTTATTATATATTGTATAAGAAGTTTCTTCACAACTTGAAAATTTTCTCCACTCTCTTCTGGTGGTTTTACATTATCACGAGGACTTTTCTTTTTCAGGTTGAATATTTAACTCGATTATTTAGCTAAATTTAAGACTAAAATTGAGTAATTACAAAATATAATAAACACACTGATAACAAATTTATTCGATTCGATTACTTGACTATTATCAATTGAATATTTTCTTGAATCAAATAATTTTTAATTTGATAAATTTTATTTAATTGAATCAAATTAAAATCTATATTAATAATCGTTGTATTCCGGTAATCTGTTCGCGGTTTAAAGTTAACAATTGTTTCCTTTTCTGTTTCGTAACTTTTTAAATAATTTTTCTTTTTAAATATTTTCAACTTTTAAAATTAAAATTAAAACAATTAATTTTATGAACAATTTCTTTCAAGTGTTAAAAAATAATTGAATTCTTTTGTAAAATTTTAAAACAAATTAAGAAAAAAATTGAATTGTTTCGTGAAGTTTTGTTGAAAATAATTGAATTTGGCAAAGAATTTTACTATTTACAAAAATAATTTAATTTTTTTCTGAAATTGTTTTGAATATAATTGAACTTTTAGAAAATAATTGAATTTTTTAAAATTTTAATTCTTTCATGAAATGTTGTTAAAATTGTTTAAAAAATCATTGAACTTTTGCAAACAATTTTACTTATTTTAAATCTCATTAGATTTTTTTGAATAATTTATAAAATTTTTTAAAAATAATTAAATTCTTTAAAAAAATATTTAAAATGTTTCAAAAATTGAATTCTTTTATGAAATTTTCTAGAAAATAATTGAATTCTTTTTTGAAATATTTTAAATCAAATTAAGAAAAAAATTGAATTTTTTTCTGAAATTGTTTTGAATATAATTGAATTTTTTCAAAGAATTTTACTATTTATAAATATAATTGAATCGTTTCGAAGAATTTATTGAAATTTTAGGAAATAATTGAATTCTTTTTAAATTTTTATATAACGAAATAAGAAAATAATTGAATTTTTTTCTGAAATTGTTTTGAATATAATTGAATGCTTGCAAAGAAATCTACTGTTTATAAATATCATTGGATTTTTTTGAATAATTTATAAAAATTTTAGAAAATAATTAAATTCTTTTGAAGAATATTAAAAAATTTTTAAAAATTGAATTCTTTTATGAAATTTTTTTAGAAAATAATTAAATTCTTTTGATATATTTTAAATCGAATTAAGAAAAAAATTTAATCCTTTTGTGAAATTTTTTAGTAAATAATTTGAATTCTTTTGAATAAATTTATAACGAATTAAGAAAAAAATTGAATTCTTTCGTGAAATTTTTTTGAAAATAATTGAATTTTTACAAAAAAATTTACCATTTAAAAAAATAATTGAATTGTTTCGAAGGAATTTATTAAAATTTTAGAAAATAATTGTATTTTTTCGAAAAATAATATTAAAAATTTTTTTTAAATTAAATTCTTTCATGAAATGTTATTAAAATTGTCTTAAAAATAATAAATAAAGTAAAGGACAATATAAGCCCGTTTATATACTAAATAAATAAATAAAT